AAATAATAAAAGGCTTGCAATATTTCAGTTGATTTGTAATGAATCCAGAATGTATGACATTTTTGTTTTTTTAATTGCATTACAGAAAATAAAGAACTTTATCACAATATTCTAATTTTCTGAGACAGTCCTGTATATCGGAAGATTCGGAACTAAAGTGGGAAAAGTACTGCGGTGTGAACGCGGCTATAGACAGTCGTCGTGTTACATTAAACAAATGGCTTATAGAAGATACAAAATGTAATTTAGAAAATACAAGACCAAAAAGGAACAGAAGCTGATAGTCGGCATCTCTAACAGACCTGATTTAGGTCATGTGATTATGTGTGTGAAGCTGTCATCTGTAGCTTGCTCCTTAATGAACCTGAAAATACAACTTATCAATGTCATATTGTTATAACTAATTTTGAAATGATTAAGTTACAGTTTGGTTAGGCAAGTTTTCTTAGGTTTGCCAACAGAATGACAGAAATGATACATGTTTCTCCAAATGTAAAAAAATTGCTTCATAAAAAGAGTTGAGGAAGCTCAATTTTACAATGCTCCAGCTTGTCCTCCGTGTGTGTTGTAAGTCCACAGAAGCTAAAAAGAAAAGAAAAAAAACTCTTGCCACATGGAGCTTAAGCCCAACGGAGACAGATATACAGGCACTCTGGCGCAAAGTGTGCTGTAAGGTCTCATGTAATCCGGCGTCTCAACAGGCGCCAGGCGCCAGCATTTACCCGCAGGCCTCTCTGTCAGCCTAGACCTTTCCCTGGCTAGGGAGGCATCTTGGGATGGGATGTACGCACAATGCCAAGAAGACAGGTGTTCTCTGCCAGCTGTCACTGCAGACTTTTTTTCTTCTGCCACCCTGCATCAAGTCACATAGTTGCATATATTCTATTGTCTGTCACCAATGGCATAATAAAGACATATTCATAGTTAGGTTAACACACAGGGAAACTGCCCTTTTTAACAACTGAACTTTATCAAGAAAACCATTTCCCCAATTTAGATCAGATATGTTTGCTAAGCTTTAAAGTTACTCTTAAGTGCATGTAGTGTTCACAGATATATTTTATTTGTATGACTTTGTTCATACTGACTTCAATAGTTGCCAGTGTTATCACTTCATCTATTCTATGCTGTGCTGTGTATATATAAACAACATATTGAAGATTGAATAGATTTTAGTATAGTATAGAGAGACAACTGCTGAAAAACGATGCAGTGCGAACATCAAACGTATGGTTGAATAGTTTAACCTGAAGTGTCAACTGCTCTTTGCGGCATTGACACAAGAGTCAATGCCGCTTTTTGACCAATTCATCCTTTAAGTTTTACTGTGTGAAGCACTGCTAAATATTGGAAATATATGACGATAGACATGAAACGAAAGTGACATACAATTCAACAAAATATACATTTCTTACTAGCAAATCTATTTTAAAAACTGACTTTACAATCCTTGTTTGGATGACTCTCTTTAAATGTATAACTCCTCATCACAAGGGAAAGGGAAAAAGCATCACTTTTTGAAGCCTTACTTGGTCAAATAAAGCCCCTTTTCACTGCTATAAAACCTGAATCAAATGTAATGTTTTATTTGTTGATTGAACAATTCAATTATTGCTTTTCTCTTTACAAACACATATTATAAATGAACCTGATCTTTCATTGTTCAGCAGTAATTACAGAATTGAATGACGCTTAAAATTGTTTTCTTTGTAAATTGCTTTTACCATATGCTTGTACTGTATTGACAATTACATTAACACTATTGGTACTTTTAATGATGGTGTCCTTGCTAGTGTTTTTCTCTGCGTTAGCTTCAGTATCCAACACACTGCAACTCATAACAGAATTATTCTAAATCAGGTTATAAATTACCCTGCCATTTGCACACTAAATTGTGCTGTGCCAATGTGGCATTGCATTACAGATGGAACTAAAATAAAAATGAGTCTTGAGGTAATAGGATTTTGTTTGAATGTTACACAGGAAACTGTGTTCTTCTTGCAAAAGTGGAGAATCACAACCTTTCAGGGTAATCATGTTTTGTCTTTTTTGTTTACTTCAGTATGGCCTGGATCGAATCCTGGGGGAAGAGAAGAGTCTTGCGTTATTGGCGAGAGCCATTGATCCCACCCAGTCTGCCATGATGACTGACGTTGTGAAGCTGCTGTCAGCCATCTGCATTGTGGGCGAAGAGAACACGTATGGCCTGGCTTCATTCTTTCTGTCAACATATCCGTGTCTCACAGCTTTTGTAATGTTCAAAGTCGATATTTTGGATTTTGCAAAAGCAAGACTCTATTGGTTTTGGTGTGATAAGAGCTGTTTATCATTTATTATCACACGGAATCAAAAGGTTTTACAGGGCTTACAATGTTAAGGGTGAAGCATAACAAGACAATCATTTGCAAAAGCGTGAACTGCCACATATTCACAGAGTATAATATTTGTATTTGAATAAACTAGGTATGTCACTCACTCTTAAAAGGACACAGCACAACTCTGGTGTCAATATATTGTATATCAACAATGTTTTTACGAGAGTAGTGTCTAGTAAAAATACACAAGATATTGGTGATGTAATATAATTTGAGAGATTGAAAGTGATATCAGCATCATATAGGAGATATTTTAAGTGTCATTTAAATAGGCATTAAAGTATGCATTTTCAAGTACACTATAGTATAAAAAGTCCTGGTACAATCAAACTCAAGTCTCCTGGTGTGTTCTATGGTGAAAGGGATGAAATCCCCTGGAAAAGACCATCCACTTTCGTCAAATTGACAATAAAGGGACATTGGATACAGTGGAATAGGAGAGAGCTCATTGGTCAAAATCCCTTTAAATGAATGTATGACTTAATTTTCCCTCAATTGTTCGCTCATGCATTTCATGTTCTCATTTAGTTTGGAAAAGGTCCTTGAAGCCATCACCACAGCAGGAGAATGGCGAGGCATCGAGAGGTTCAGTCCCATTGTGCAGGGACTCCGAGATCGCTCGGTTCAATTACAAGTAAGTGCAAAGTACAAGCGCCGTACAGCCAGCGACACCGCTCTGCCCCCCTCACATTTCTCTGAAATGAAATATGGAAGGGCTTTTGGGAAGTTAACCATTTTAACTTATCATAACCTCTCTGTGCTCAGGGGACTTGCACATGATTGGATTTGAAAGTATTTTCTTGCCCAAAAGAGTTACGTTTATACTTGTTTTAATTCTAGGAAGAGTACAACGGCAACATTCAAACAACTATACATTGCAAATATTTGGTCTCCTTTAATTCACTACCCAGTGCTTGCGAGCTGTTCTTGAAGCAGTTGGTTTATGTGTTGAAGTGTCTCGCATGTTATTCATTTTGCGGATCAAACAAGAAACTGTAAGGTAACAAGTTCAATATTATCCTGTTAATCTTATTTTACCACTTGCAATAATGAACGTAATCATTGTGAAATGGTGTTCCTAATTAAGATAAATATCATCTGTGATTTGTGGTTGTCTTATGTAATTATATTTACTGATGACAGTATTAGCATTTCAGTTACAGCAACATCTAGTTATGATGAGAAAAATGTAAAACAAGCTTTATTTTGAGAACTGTTGGACCAGGGATTAATTCATGGAGGATAACAAAAACAATTACTGCTTGAAGAAAACCAATAACAAGAGAACATAATAAAGCAAACAAAACATCTTTATTTGTTGTATTCATACAGAAAGAGGCTATCCCTTTCTCATGTTCCAAAGCTATAATCTTGTAACCTCTGATTCCTCCTAATCCACTTTAAGGTTTGACACATTTCTCCCAGTCGATGCGCATAGTCCGTTTTATCATCTCATGCATTCCTTTGGCATGCAATTCCTTTTTTTTTTGGACACTGTGTTTGAGATCTATCATCTCCCTACCGATACATACACTTGAGGTATTGCATATGGGCTGCTTTAAACGAGGGTGGCATTGGTTTCTCTCATAATAATGTAATTAATGATTGTAGTATGTTGTCTGCATTTTTAATTGTTAGCTGTCGGATACGATCATTCATTCAATACCACGCACGCACGCACGTGCGCGCACACACACGCACACACAAGATGAGTATAACACGTCTAGAATCTATTACCATTTTCTCCTGTGGTTGTTTCGTATTAGGATGCGATAACCAATGATGTTAAACCTTATTGACAGATGATATATGTCATGCCCCCTGTAGCATTTTCCATAGCTTTTACCTGCAGTTTGATGTAACTACCTTTGACAGGTGCAAAACTTTAGGAATACTCTACGAGGGTGGAAGCAACAGTTATGAAAAATATTAAAGGAATTTATGCTTTGCTATTACTTTCCCACTTCTAAAACGCAGCACAGTTTCTTTTTAAGCCCATGCATTATTAAAGCACGATACTGTTATCCTAACCACTGTGGCGCTGCGTGGCCAAAGGCTTTTCTTGGCACTTGACTTCACTGAAGGTCCGTCTGCTGGGAGCCTTTGGCTCTGTGGAAGTGTGTATTTAGACAATGAGTGTAAATACACACAAGAGGGAACACCGAAATCAAAGATGCCCATATATTCTCTTAAGGTCTAAGTGCCTTCACATATTTGTAATTGATCCCTGCATTATTCCTATTACAAGCTTAGGCTATTGAAGATTATTAAATATACATATTTTAACAATTTACATGTGCTATGAGCTGGAAACAAATAGACTTAAAATGCTAATGTAGCATCTATTGTGGTGTTTTATGATGTCAAGCTTTTCAGTGATCTTTCTTGCCCCCCTTTTGTCCTTTTTATTGATTTTCTGCCTTCAGCAAGTTTCAACTCAGCATATTGATTTGTCTTCAAATGAGTTTGTGTACTACTTAAACCGAAGACTATGTGGATGTAAGAAATCATTCAATTGTTAGGATCTTCAAATACTCCAATTGTATTGTTGACGGCCATTGTACCCCAGTCACAGGTCAAGATAAAGGTTTTGTGACACTTTGTAATGCTACCTCTGTATTGCAATATGAACATATTACTTGGAGGACAGATAATTACTATAATTGAGTACAAAAGTAAAAATAAGTATGCTTTCAATCTGAAAACATCTAAATATCCTGCCTTGGCTCTAGCACTGCCATACCCTCTTTTCACACATGAGTGGATTGCTTCACTGATCAATAATAGATTGTTCTGTCTGTGTTTGCCTGGCAAGTTGAAGAGTCACAGGATGCAGCGGTCCCTGTGCAGTAAACCAAACTCTTAGGGGAGCGAAAAGCAGCTTCCAAAAGAGAGAGTTTGCCCTTAAATTGACTGTTAGTTAGTTTTGTGTGTATGGGTCTGCAGTTGTTGCATTAATATTAAAATCAGCACCCCTGGTTGGTGACTGGAGAAAATAGACGATGCATTAGTTATGGTCTTCTGCATCCCAGGTACACAACTCATTTAGAATGCATGCTGGCATGCATTTCATCAACTTCTGGAAAAAAAGCAGTCTGTTGTCGCTCTCTGGTTCTCCCTCTCACTATTCTCTCTCTTTTTCTCTTCTCTCCCTTTCTCCTCCCCTCTCTCTCCCTTTGTTGTGTGCACCCCTTATGTTGCAGGTGGCATGCATGCAGCTCATCAACGCACTAGTAACATCCCCTGATGAGCTGGACCTCAGGCTGCACATCAGAAATGAATTTATGCGCTGTGGCCTGAAAGAGATATTGCCGGTAAGCACAGCACAACTACACAATCGCACACACAAACACACACACGGTATAAACCCACACCTACTGTGTATTAATATTTAAATGAGGTGTCCACTTCAGTGAAATATTGTAGATTTGCTCCAGCAAATAATTTATGAAACACAGAGGAGAGTTTGCACGTCCTTTGTCTGTGCCAGCACCCAGAAACCAATAAAGTTTTGATTGTTAGTGCCTGGGTTATAATATACCCACTGGCTTTTATACCCTCTACCTAACATGTGTATTGTTGTAAACATTGTAGCTGTTGATGCCAAGAAAACAAATACATTAAAGTGAGGCTCTGTCCCCACACCTTTAAATCATGTGTGATAGCATTTTGTATGAGCTCCTTGAATTTACCCGAGCAGACGTCAAAAAGGGTCTCAAGCCCTTCTGTTTGATTTATTTAGCTATATTCTTTGTCTCTCTTACATTTTTTTTCCTTTATCTAATATAATCCATCTGAAGCATCTGACAACCATAAGGAATGAGGCCCTTGACATTCAGCTGAAGGTATTTGAGGAGCACAAAGAAGAGGACATGATGGAGTTCTCCCATCGGCTGGAAGACATCAAGTGCGAGTTGGAATATCCTTTTCATTTTAACAAACACAAAATTCTAATTGAGTGTCCGCTTTATGTGAGGTTTTCTATAATACAGTACATTTTAAAAGGTCAGGGGCCTCATTTATAAAGGGATATACGCTCAAAAAATGGCGTACGGCAGTTTCTACGCAATGTTTGCGATTTATAAAAATACTAACTTGACGGGAAAACGTGCGGTCCTCCACGCAAACTCTAACCCATGCGTACGCACTAAGCACAAAAACGGGAGAGACGAGAAACTGCGACACCGTTGGCAGAAGGAAGAATGGAGATAAATATGTGGAAATAATACCATAAATAAAATGTTACCTCGTTTATCATATATGAAGAATTCATTTTCAAACATTGATTAAAGCCAATCTTAAAATGATTAAACAAACGCCTGTTTGAGACTCCTCAGTGCACACAAAAACATAACTGGGAGAAATAAATAAATACGGATATGTTATTTAAAACCACCTCGAATATGTTGTGTTAATGTTATGAAATGTTTTCTCATAAATGATGCGGTAAGCAGGAGGACAGAATTACGTCTAAACTGACGCCGTTTTGCATTTCTATAGGTTGTAGATAAGAGCATGGTTTTATATATGTTGTTTAATCGTGTTTTATGCCGTTTGCCAAGACTTGATAAGTCGCTCGTAAAACACAGGAGGTATGGAAACTAAGAACACCATATGTGGTAAATTGTACAGCTATATAACAACACATTAGTTGTATTTCCTTTAACTGGACGGATATAGAGTTGCTGCGGGGGGGGGTTGAGATGCACAGGCTGCAGTGGAGACGCTGCGCACAGCTGATCGACAGCTGGGACACAAACCACCAAATACAAAAACATAATTCAGATCCAGTCGTCATGACTCCACTCCGGAGGGATTCCCTGATCATTTCTTACAGTTTCTCATCAAGGGGGTGTCTCCTGTCCCCGGTACAAACACACTGCCTGAGGAAGGCTATGTGTATTTTTTTTGTCATTAACCTTTTTCGGACCACTTATTTATTTATTTTGGTGACGATCCGACCTCCATGATGCTACTCTGGTTCAAACTGCATCCACCAAACAATATGATAATCTCGACCTCCCCAAAATAATCAAAATCTGACACTGTGTGAGATGTTTTTTTTAGCTGTTCTGTCGTCATTTCCTGCGATCTTCTCCATGCAGTCAGTCAAAAATGAATAAATGAAAGGGCGTTTCTTTGACTATTTAGCGGCAAATATGGGCGTTACGTGAAGCCCGCAAAAGCTGCACCGCATTTCGAGTCGGTTGTGATTTATAAATGGAAACCGGCGTAGGAAGTGCCACACGCACTTTCCTCGCCGGTACGCAATGTTTTGTGAATCGGAAAGTGGCGGAAAATGTATGGACCTATTTTTCGGATTTCTACTACATAAGCAACCTTCCCACGTGAATCATACGCACGGCGTTATAAATGAGGCCCCTGGTCATCAAGCTAAAGTCAGCTACTCTTTGTGTTGTAAAATACATAACTTGTTCATTTCTTTTCAGGGGCTTACTTTTTTATGTGAAAATGCAATGTTTCGTTTTACATAAAAGTCCTTGACTCTGTTCACTGATGTGGGTGATGTGTTCAGCATTGTGCAGAGCATGGTGAAGGACAGCAATGCAGAGCCCTATTTTCTATCTATACTGCAGCACCTGATGCTTATTCGCAACGACTACTTGGTCAGGTAAAGATCAGCAGCACACACACAACATTAACTATTAAGTGTTATCAAGCGTTCATATTTATCACTTCTTTTTTCTTTGCTCAATCACAGAAGTATGTACCTGTATGTGAGCATGGACTTTGTGTTTTTTTTTTTTTATGTTTAGTTTTCAGCTCTATTCCTTAGCTCTATTGTTATCTTTTTTGACCAGGGATATTTGGTGCGTAATAATGGCTTATATATAGCATTTTAATATCAAATTTGAGCCAAATTCACACACAAACTAAGGTCTAAGCCGCTTTTGAACACTGGTAATGACACACGCTGGTGAAAAGCTTATGTTTTGTGGAGGTCTCACTCCTTCTGGCTTAAACCCTCTCAATGACATTGGCTAACAAAGAGAATGCTATCTCTTTCATCTCCAGTCCATCTCCAGTAACCATGGCTCCAGAGTATTTCTCATCTCCTATTAAAGTTACTTTTCAAAGGCTTATTTTATGTTGGTTCACTCACAGCTGGATGTGGGTTAAACCTTGGCTTGATCAAAAGGTGAGGCTCTTATCTGAAGAAAATGAAATGCATCACCTGCAGTCTTTCTCCCACCCAAAAACAACACCCAAAATGTCTGGCACTCCGCTCTGGCTCTGTCTAAATAGTTTTTCTTCATCTGCAATTTTATCATGGGGCTTATGACTGCCAGGAATGCTCATTTCTATTTTGTAAGCATAATAACAGCAGCACACACAAACACACCACCCTCCCCTTGTTCTGTTCTTATTAACCATGGCATGAAAAACAACACAATCTGATTTTTTTTTATTTCGGCAGATAACCATCTGGACCATTATAAAACCAGTTAAACGTTATATTAGACCTTTCTTTTATTTAGTAATGATTAAATATTATAATATATTCTCAAATACCAGCTTTGTGACTATGCAAGGCAGGCCTGTTCATTTTACAATTTCTCCACATTCTCCATTAAAAGCAATACTAGTTTAGGTAGTGAATCCAAAACCAAAAATACTTAAAAACAACAATGTTAAATAATTAACTGCCTGCCTTAGCATTGTCCAATGAATCGCTGGGCCACTGCGGCTCAGGAGGTAGATTGTCGACCTCCATTCAGTGTTATGTCGACATAACACTGGGCAAGATACTTAACCCCAAATTGCTCCTGATGGCAAGGCCAACAGTGGGTGAATGTTCGTGAGGAGGTGGCCTCTTGTATTTAACCTCTGTATCTGTTTTAATGCGTGGGTGTAGTTTTTTAATAGGTGAATGTGGACTTGTATACGTAAAGGGCTTTGAGGGGTCGCAATGACTGGAGAAGTGCAATATAATATGCAGTCCATTTACCATTTATTAACTACATACAATAGTAACTTCCAGGGCCGTGGAGCATCTCATACCCGTACATGAGGGCTCATTACTTATGTGAAAAATAAAAGTTGTTTGTATGAAAAACACTCTATAGCATCTTATTCAGCATATTTTCCACTTTCTGGAAGTGGTCCTTGGATGCTTTCAGAATTTGTACATGTACATCCCAGCAATTATGCCAAAGCCGTTAGCCATGATAGCAAGATGGATGTCCAACACATTTGTCAGTCTAATCTAAACTCTGTTGCTGTCCAACTAGGGAACTTTACATGGTTACATTAGAAGGAAACTAAGTCTTATCAAAGCTTTGCAAGTTGTAATAGCCACTCTCAGATTGTATGGCCTAAGCGGCAACTATTATCTTGATAAAAAGATTGTCCACGTATTGACAACAAATAATTATTGTTAGAATTTTAATTGAATTATTTTCGTCTTTTGGACCTCTACAGAAGCTTTGAGTGAAATAGATACACTTGGGTGTATGCATTCACAGCAACATCTTTTAAATTAAATTAGAATAGGCATCATGTTGCCTAACATTCTTAACAAATTGAGATTATTGTTAACATGCATACTTTAAAGGAGACCTATCATGCTATATTTAAATGATATAGTGTATGACCATACCTATAAAAGGTATATTTATACATTTTATTTTTCAAAATACCAAACAGATCATTTTTTAGCCATGCCTCGTTACGCTCATTTTCGCTCTATTCCAAGCCTGTCTTTGAAAATTCTGAGCAGCAGCTGACCACGCCCCCCTGCAGAAGAGGGGGGCATGAGCATACTTGTCAACCCTCCCGATTTTCGCGGGAGACTCCCGATTTCATTGCCCTCTCCCGGTTTCCTCCCGGGGTCATGTT